CCGTTCCGCCGTGACCGAGGCCTCCGTGCGAAGGCGCAGCGGAACGGTGCGCGTCTGGAGGCCGCCCCGGCCCGTGCAGTGAGTGAAGCCGCCACCAAACCGGTGCCGCTGAGCCCCGCAGAGCCGTGAAGCGCGGTGCCAGGAAGGGTTTTCCTTGTCCTTTGGAGGGTGGTGCAGAGCGCGGTCACGCTTGCTTTAGCTTTCAACCGCTGTGCTTTCTTCACGTGGGAAACAAGTAATTCCCTGCGGAGCGGGCTCCATCCGAAGGTATCCGCGTGGAAACGCCCCGCTCTGCGGCGGGGGGCGCGGGGGGCTCGGAGCTCGGCCGCTCACGCGCGTGTCTGTCGCAGCGTGTCCTGAGGGTACCGCCGGGTGTTTGAGGAGTACATGCGGGTCATCAGCCAGCGGTACCCAGACATCCGCATCGAAGGGGAGAACTACCTTCCGCAGCCGATCTACAGGTGAGCCGGCGGCGCGCCGTGGGGCTGGGCGGTCTGCGCGTTGTTTAACCCAACGGGGGGTGGTTCGGAACGGGCACTCGCACGCACCGCGGCTGCGGGCGAGATGGGTTTGTCTTCTCTGCTCCTGTGCTCCAGATGGTAGTATTTCTATGGAAACTTGATGCAGCTATCTGTGTGATGAGGCCTGCTGTGTTTCGAGGCAATTGGAAGTAAATTACATAATTCACATTTTTTCGCAGTTAATTTTCCCCCTTTTTACACTATGATGCCTGGACACCAATTTGCCGTTGCTGCTCTTGTTGCTTAGACTTGTGTACTTAGAGACTCATTTCTGAAATATGTTAAGGCTGCGTTGGAGAGAAGAACTTGTGTTTAGCATCAAACTTGGGGCAGGGGAGCTTCCCTGGAGAGGCCGATGGGATTTCCTTAGCCATAGTTTGGGGGCGGGAGGGAACCCCATGCGCAACGGAGGGCTGGGAAAAGGCAGGGCTGGAATAGTGTTCCCGCTACCCTTGTTTACCTGCTGGGGAGCGATGCCATAGTGACGGTCGCAGCTTCTGAACCACTTCTCGACCTAATTACTGTAGTGATTGCAACGGTGAGAGTAAATGCTGGGAACTGAATACCTCCATGTTAATTTGCTGTCTGGCTAAATGCTTAATCCTCAGTGGGAGCTGTGGGGTTTTGGCACTTGCTCGCAACACGTTTTGAGAGGAAGGAGTGAATGTCAATTAAACATGTCTCTAGGGTTTGGAACAGCTTCTCTAAGAAACTAAATGTACTCTCTGGTTTAGACAAGTGTACAAATTGAAAGCAAATCTCAATTTGAGATCTGCTGACAGAGAAAGAATAAATCTGTGTGCATGGTATATTACAGTGGTGGTGTTCTGGGGTATGTTTTTGTTAGTGTTTTAATTTTGGGGAGTATTCTTATGTATTATTATACAGATGTTACACACATTCTTACAGGCAAATAAATGTACTAGAAAAGTTTTGTTTATTGCAAAGTACTTAATGAAACGTTATCAAAGTGATTCTAAGGAGGTAAGTTACAGCAGTGGAGCAGTAAGGTAACTAAGAACCGCCTAAGGGACTTCCGTGTTTTGTCTTTCGACAGGCACATAGCATCCTTCCTGTCCGTCTTCAAACTAGTATTAATAGGCTTAATAATTGTTGGCAAGGATCCATTTGCTTTCTTTGGCATGCAAGCTCCGAGCATCTGGCAGTGGGGCCAAGAAAATAAGGTAAACGTCTTGATTTCTTAATTTTGGAAGAGTGTTTCCAGAGGGGTTTCGTGGCGCACGCTGGGAGCGCTGCAGCCTCATCCGCCCGCGCTGCCGTCGGAGCGGCCCGTTGGAGCGAGCGGGGCGGCCGGCACCGCTGCTCGAGTGCAGCCTTGCAGCACTGGTTGCTAAAGAAAGACTCCCGTTAGTAGGAAGCAAAGGGTTTACTTGGGGACCAGGAGAATTTCAAGCTGCTTTTGGTGGCTTTAAAATCATGGCTTCCCTTTGCTGTTGACTCATGACTATTTTGCATTTGTTGCTTTCATGAGTTTTGCAACTGTTTAAGACCCACTATTTGATGGTGGTTTGAAAAACCGTACTGAAATTTTGCAGGATTTGGGCATGAGGGACTCTGCATCTTATGAGGTGAATATTCTTCTGAGTCAGTACTGTTGATGCTGACACATTCATGCCACTGTACTCTGTTTTATAACCTTATTCCAGATTTATTCTACTAAGCAAAAGACATTTTTAGGTATATGAACCATTACATATCTTGCTGGTGCACAAGTCCTCAAAGTGAACTGTTCAGTGCAGTGGGTCTGTTTGAATGCATAGAAAGCATACTGTGTAATGTGTCCTACTTAATTAAATGGTTCAAGTGTAGCACTGAACTCCCCTGTGTGTGGCACATCTGATGGCAGTTCTGCGGCGCCCCAAGCCCCAGTGATTTCACGTGCGGGGTTCTTGGGCATTGTGGCAGCCGTGGGAATGTGCCCTGTGCCCGAGAAGGGGGTTAGTCGTGTGCTAACGCAGCGCGAGGCTCTGCGTGGCTGCAGGTTCCCGCACCTCATCCCGAGGCCTCCAGACAGAAACTGAGATCTAGGTGGTTATCCTGAAGAAATGCTCCAAGGGTCGGCAGTTCTGCTGGACAGATACAGCTCGACCCGCTCTGCTGTTTCTGTGCGAGCCTGTGCGTCCCGATCTGAAGCATTACCCAAAAGAGCCAATATGTAGGAGTGGTTCCTTTGGCATCCTGCGAGTGCCGCGGGAGCCATGCGCTGCTTTTGCTAACGGCCTGTTTGGGTATGCTTGGATCTGTGGAGGAAAGCAGGGAGAAGATGCTGCTGCACTCTCTGGAGTCTAAGTTGTGACTTGAGGTGGTTTCAGAACTAGCTTGATATCTGTCTTGAGGGGAAAAAAAGTGTTTGTACTGTTTTCTAAAGGAATGAGAAAGGAAGGTGTCAGTGCCCCTTTAAACTTGCTTGCTAAGGAGTAAAGGAAGAGTATGAAGGTACTTGCAAATGGTCAGAAATTAAGAGTATCTAAAATAAGCTGTAGTTTACGAAGCCAAAGCGCCTGAGGTTCTCACCGTTCTCTTCTAGGTTTATGCTTGTATGATGGTTTTCTTCCTGAGCAACATGATTGAAAACCAGTGTATGTCCACGGGCGCATTCGAGATAACGTTGAACGGTGAGTCCCAAGTGCCCGTCCGCGGGGCTCGCGCGGCGCCGGGGCTGTGCTGTGGAGCGTGGCACGGCTCGGCGTGACCGCGTGGGCCGTCTGCCTTCTGTGCTGAGACAGCCTTGGCTGTTACCACACGTGATAACAAATGTGGAAGCCTTACGGAGCAGTTCCTCTAAACTTCACTTATGCTTATTTTTTAAAAAAATGGCTCTGCAAAAAGCTTATGTTTAGGGGATTGCTTGGTCATACGTAATAACCTGGAATGTTCTTTTTTTGTATGCAGCGAACATTAATGAAGAAATGCTCAACTAGGGAAACTTCTCTCCAGTTTGTTACATGCTTTTCCTGTTCTGTTTCTTAGTATGGTTAATACTTGATCTTAATGAATCTATTGCTATTACCAGATTTTTAATGCTTGTGCACAGCAGTACTTTTTTTTTTTTTCTCCTCCTGAGTTTCCTGTGGAGCTTCCTCTTTAATTTAGGTCTTCAAATAATTAGGCCTTCAAATGTAATCATTTTAAAAGTGAATTTAGAGAATTTGTCAATTTCTAGGCACAAGTACATATTGCAAATATGGTTTATTTCTCAGTTTATAACTGTGCAGGCTGCATTTCAACCTAGTGGTTTCTAAGTCAAGTCTTACACCCCAGAATCTTTTTAAAGACTGCCTGTGTTGCCCCAAAGCGGTTGAATTTGCTCAGGTTAGGGTTGGCGCAGAGCCTCCCTAGGGATGAGCATCACATGTGGGTTTAATAAAGCTCCCGTTTGGCTTTTAGGGACAATGAAGTTCTGGTTTTCACCAGGTGGCCAAAACTGTGTCTTTTGCTGTGGGGTCGGGAAGTGCTGTAGGTTGGAAAAAGTCCACAGCAACGTCAGAAATGAAAGTTGTGCTTACCCGAAAGTGTTACTGGCCGTGCCTTATGTTCCCTCCCCAAAGCACTTGCTGTTACATTATGAGTGGAACCTTCAAAGCCAGACCTTGACAGGGCTTTTGGGGGGCAGCCTTAAAAGCTGGCCAAAAGGGAGCTGAAACCTGATGGAATCCACACCTTTCCAAGGTGTAGCTATAGTTTAGAAACCTAGTGCATTATCCGGCCACTCATCGGTCTAATTTTAGACATTCTAGTAGTAGAATGGGTATTTGGGGTCTGTAAATCCTTAAGGAACACTCTAAGGAGAAGCTGGGCTGTTGTAGCTGGAGCGTGTCTGAGTGCATCGGAGGCTCGACGCGGTGTTGGGCCAGTGTTCTTCAGTACGAGGTGGTGGCAGGTTTCCACATGGAACTAGCCCTGTGTTTTCTTACCGTGTCGTGTGATCACGTGTTTTGTGCTAGATGTTCCGGTGTGGTCTAAGCTGGAGTCTGGCCACCTTCCTTCCATGCAGCAGCTTGTACAAATTCTCGATAACGAAATGAAGCTCAATGTGCACATGGAGTCAATGCCTCATCATCGATCATAGCCCCATCTATCAGCACTGAAACTTCTGGTAAGTCTTTTTACAGCTGCTGGCTACCTGTTGACTCGTGTAAAGGACCGTGTTTTGGAGATTGAGCTTCCTTTTAATGAACCGATTCCCATTTTGAAAGTGCTTTAGCAAAAAGAAAAAAAAAAAACTCACCACTCTAGTAACTTCCAGTAAACACTTATGTGATTTCGCAGCTGCTGTTTTGATGAGAGGTTTTGGTTTGGGTATGTGGGTTTTTTTTTGTGTGTGCTTACCTGTTTCAAAATTGGAAACTGTTTTTCCTCCAACCAGGGGAAAACAAAAGGTATTTGTGTATGCAGGAAGCCTAAGTAAATAAACTGGGTTATGCAGAGATCAGAAAACATATTTCATCCCATGCTTTAGAATATTTAGTGTGCAGAGGTTTCCTCTGTAACTTGCACTGTATGAATTTCACGACCCTAGAAATTAGGACCTGTTTTCCTGCTTCCCAGTGTCTAGTGTATCCATGGTGCTGTGCTGCCTCAACCTTTTGCGAATATTCTTCCGTGCTTCTAGACTTCAAGTGCCTTAGTGAGATGTGGCTTCTGAAGCGCTTAGCTTGCAGTCCTTTGTGGGAACGTTCATGTGCTGGCAGAGCACTGACTGGCAGCAAAAGCAGCACAGTACTTCACTCGTGGCAGTTTTCTTGCACAAGAACCCTCTGGGTTGAGAGGTTGCACGTTTGGCGGTGTCTCGCGGGACAGACCGAGCGCTGCCGCTGCTGTGGGCTGGCATCGCGTGGCTTGTGCCAGCGCCGGAGCGGGCCGCGTGGGAGCTGCTGAGCGCGGCGAGGGGTCCCCTTTTTTTTTCAGCCTGGGCCTCGTCCCCGCTCTGTGTCCTGCCGCGCTCTCCTGCGCTGATCCTCGCACACGTGTTCAGGGCCCTTGCTACCTCGAAGTACGAGTGCAGGGAGCATGAGAAACCGTTGACTTTCGGTTGCTTTAATTTAGCAAAAGTCATCCTGGCCATCAAATAAGTTGCTTCATAAAACTAGTTATGCCCTGTGCTTTGCAGAGAGGCTCCCTGAAGCCCAGTGTCCTTTATGTATTGATTGAGAAGGTCTCAAGCGTTTTGTGCAGGAAAGTAGATTATGGCTTGTGAGGCAATGGCATGATTTTGAAGCTTATAAAACATGCTAAAACTGCTATGTTGATTTTTAAGTGAATATATATTTTAAAAAGGAAACTCAGTTGATTACCCTCTTTATGGGAGTAATATTGCATGTTGGGAAAGTGATAGTGAAGCTTACTGATTTTGCCTCCTATGGCCTTATTTAAAGTCACGCTAGTGTAGTGTTCTGATGGCCTTGTAGCCTGCTGCCAGGAATAACACCGTGGTGTTCCTCTCGCCGCGAGCCCTGGCCTGTGATGTGGCGCTGCCGCCCCGTGTCCGGCCCAGTGTGCGGGGCTGGCTGAGCGCGGCGCTGCCGCCCCGTG